GCTGCCGTTGTTGGCATTTCTTTCTTCTTCTTTGTTCTTTGTTCTTTTCTTTGGGCTTGTTGTGCTTCTCGCCCGAGCATTCCTATGTATCGGTGTTGGTTGCTTTGGAATACAAAGCGGGGGGAAACCCTTTTTCGGTAATTTGGGGTAAACCAGGCCAAGTGACCAGTTCAGGCCTGGACAAGTTGATCAGGCTGCACTAGGTGGGCCAGTAGGTGCTCAGGTTTACTTGATATCACCTGGATACACTTTTATCTTATACTCTATGTTAAACTGTATGGTCATGAAATATCCATGCATTGAAGTGCTAAACATGACTGACCTGTTACCTACACTACCTAGTTAGAATGGTATCGCAGTAGAAATTTTTTTGTGTATATATCATGGACTTATAACTGAAAAGGTTTTCTTGAGTTTATTCGTTTAACGATTTATATTTTCACTTGGCTGCAGGTGCTACTAACAACACCAACCACACCAACAGAGAGGATGAAGGAAATCACAAAAGCTTCAGAAGGATTCGTTTATCTTGTGAGCGTCAAGACACCTACTATTTGCTCAAAGTTTGTCACTAGATAAACAACATTTCTTGCTTTTATCCCTTGCTTAGTAATAGTTCAAGTTGTGTGGAATATTTATTAACTAGTCTATGTGTTTGCATATTAATGACACACCATATAATTTGTCATCTTGGGCTTATAACTTCCCTGGAATTTGAGCAGAAAAGTATTAAAGGAAGGCAACTATAAGTTTGCAAACTGCAAGCAACATGAAGGGTCACTTTATCTGTTATGTTCACCTCATGTTGTACATCAACCCTGATATTTTTTAAACACTCGATTTGGTAACTAGCTCATAAGTTATGCAGGTGAGTGCTGTCGGAGTTACAGGTGCACGCTCAAATGTAAACTTACGTGTTGAGCATCTTCTTCAGGAGATCAAGCAGGTTTGCGAAACTATAACCCTCTTCTCATTGGTAGCATTTGTGTATAGAAATCTGCTCTAAAGAATGCTTATAGTTAATATAACAGCTTTTTTCCTTGAGTTTTCAGGTTACAGACAAACCTGTGGCTGTTGGCTTTGGCATATCAACTCCAGAGCATGCGAAGCAGGTGAATATAGGCTCTCACAACTTCCCTGTCAAGTGTTTGGTCTATCTTTTGTTGCAAGTTTCGATAGCTTTTCTGTTTGTAATGCAGATCGCGGGCTGGGGAGCGGATGGTGTGATTATTGGCAGTGCGATTGTTAGACAGCTGGGTGAAGCCGCTTCTCCTGAAGAAGGGCTGAGAAGAATAGAAGAGTACGCCAAGAGCATCAAGGCTGCTATTCCATGAGATGGCAGTTCCATCATGAACAAGCCAATTAGTAGATCGTAAGCATGTCGTTTATCATCTGGTAGTCTGCTCGATGGACCTGGAATTTGTAGTTTGTCTAGCATATTTGATTCCAGTGCTCAAAACAATTATAACTTTGTGTGTTATAATCACAATATGAATTAACAAGGTAATCTGGAAATGGTACGAAGCTCGATCGTGAAATACTAATTGTTTATCATTTCTCTTTCGAGGAAAAATATTGTGAGATGCAGTGTTCTTATGGGGAAATATGGAATGTTAGAATTTGGAAGGATTTGTCCTGAGAGGAGCAACATGATAAGTCCATGGTGCATTTATATGGCCCGCTTGAATTTTGCCATCTGAATCCATCATTCTTCTCATTTTCTATGCGCTGAAAATGGCACTGCCCTCAGATTCTTCTTCTTGCCCTCTTCAGGACGGACGCAGGGTCGACCAGGCTAGGCTACAGTCTGGTCCCCACTGTATGGTGTGCTGATAACTTCTTGTTTCAAGCTCGTATTTATTTCGTACTCTTCCTTTTGGAATATGTGTTTTAGTAAACGCGCAGTCAAACATTTTATGCGCCCTTAGATTTTTTTCCAGACAGATGCTTTGGTACAATATAATTCTGGTATGTTTACTGTATCCGAGATGCATATTGGGGCTGTATACTTGTCATGCAGCCGTAGAAATAAAAGGTGAGATTCTTTCTGGCTTGGTTGTCTGGACATGGTCAACATGGAAGAACCAGTCCCTGGTTTATATGTATGATGTCCTTGATTATTATAATATCTAACTGTACCCACTTGTCAGCATTTCATATAAGATTACCCTGGTTTGTGGCACAATTGGAGGATGGATGAGAGTAGCAAGGACAGGAACCATTGACTTTTCAGACCTTTCCCTTTCCTGAACCGAACAGATACATTTATTTTTTCTATGGACCATGACATTGGAAAATATCCAGCTGTTGGTGTAGGTTCTCCAACCAAGGAATGTCTACATGCATCCAAACTTCCAAAAGAATAGTGTGGTCCAGTTTACTCTTGGGCTGTAGTAGTATTGAAAGTTGACTTTTCTTCTCCCGTCTCCCCACACCAACTGAGCACAATCATCTTTCTTCTCCCAATTCTGGCTGAAAGTCAAGGTCGCATCCATCTGCTCATCACCATTTATCTTATCTCAGGTTCTTAACTTCTCTTTCTTCACATTTTTTTTCCATTTCTACATAATTTCTTTCCCGTTAACTTCTTTTCTTCTCTGAAATTGAATATCTTGCGATTTGCAGGAATAATACCTCCTCTCAGAATGGGCGCCGAACTAACTGTTACGGGGTGGTTCTTGTCGCCAATCATACGGGAGATGCAGGACACCGCTTTGGCCTACATAAAGGGGCAATTCAGTTGGAAGAAAGATCAGGAGAAGGACCTTGAACGCCTTGACATCACCCTGACAGAGATTCTGACCATTGTGGATGTCATCGAGAAGAGGGAGATAAAGGATGGGAACCAGAGGAGGCTGCTAAGCATACTTAAAGACGCCATTTACGGCGCTGTCGATGTGCTGGACGGCTTCCAGTACATGGTCCTCAAGTCCAAGGTTGATAGCCAGTCTGCGGTGAGTCGTGTCACCTCAACCTGTATTTACTTGGGTAAACGTTTGATAGGTGCCGACGAATTCCGGAGGAAGCTAGCAGATATTTTGGAGAAATTAGGCATTGTCAAGACAACAGCAGATACCCTATTGAAGGTAGTTAATTTTGACAATGCTACTGCAAAGTTAATTTTGACAATGCTACTTCCCCTTTGAAGGAAAATCACCATATATATGGTCGAAGAGATGAGCTTCATAAGCTGAGAGATATGTTGTTTGAGATAAGCGACAGTAATGCACCCGGACCCAGTAATGCACCTGTACCCAGTGGCTCAAGCATTGATGTTATATCCATTATAGGTGTTGGTGGGGTTGGCAAGACTAGCCTTGCACGGTTGGCGTTCGGAGATGAACAAGTACGCATGAACTTCGGTCTCAGGATGTGGGTTTCTGTATCTGATACTTATGGTGAGATTAGATTAACAAGGGATATTTTGGAGTCTTTAACTGATGCAAATTATCACACTGTTGCTGAATTTCATGAATTGCAGAATGCTCTTCGTCAAAAGATAGCTGGAAAGAAATTTCTCCTCATACTAGACGATGTTTGGTATGACGAGGACAGAACAAAATGGGAGAATGAATTACTATGGAGCAAAGTGTTGTCTTCTTTGAATACTGGACTGGAAGGGTCGAAGATTTTGGTGACAACTCGAGCTGACAAAGCTTGCAGTATCCTGCATGCTAGGACACCCCCTTTACGTTTGGGAGGATTGGACAGAGATGATTACTGGTTGCTATTCAGAAACCATGCTTTTGGTGAGAAATACCCAGGACAATTTCCAGAACTCAAGGAAGTAGGAATACAAATTTGTCGCAGATTGAATGGTTTGCCTCTAGCAGCAAAGATAATCGGTCGCCTATTGAATGCTGACTTGGATGTCAGACACTGGAAGAAAGTTCTGGATAGTGATATATCTGATGATGTTATGAAGGTTCTAAGGTTGAGTTACCAGCACTTACCTGTCCAATTGAAGCTATGCTTTAGCTTCTGCAGCCTTTTCCCGAAGGACTGGCGTTTTGAACCTCAAAGGCTCACTGAAATGTGGATTGCACAGGGTTTTGTGCAGAGGGAGGATTCATATGACACTGATACAAATATTGAGGATGTGGCAAAGGGCTACTTCAATGAACTTGTGCAAAGATCATTCTTTGAGCGGTCATTGTTGGACCTCCCAACAGAGTATGTCATGCATGATTTGATCAATGACTTGGCTCGGAATGTCTCGAAGGACGAGTATGTCAGGGTTGAAAATGATAAACAAAAGGAGATCCCACCAAACATTCGTCATCTATCAATATCAGCAAATTTGTTAGGCAGCATGAAGAAAACAGAGTTGAGAAATTTGCGCACCTTGATTGTTTGGAAGAAAACATGGTCTTGCTTAAAATTGTCCCTTCCAGATGATGTATTCAAGAAGTCCAAGAGCATCCGTGTGCTGGACTTGAGTGGTTGTTGCCTGGATAGGCTGCCGACATCAGTGGAAGTTCTTAAACATCTGCGTTATTTCGCTTTTCGGGTTCCTCAGAGGCCGTGGCAAACATCATTGATTTGGCTTTATCACCTGGAGGTCTTGGTCACAAGAGGGCACTCCTGCCGGGAAAGTGAATGCGCTAACCTTCCTGCAAACATGAAGAGGAACTTGCTCAAATTAAGAAAAGCTTTCCTTCTCAATGTTGGCGGCGCCACGATATCTGGTTTCGGGGGACAAACTCTTCTCCGTGGCCACGGGGAGTTCCATGTCAGGAAGGAGAGTGGCTACAGACTAGGTGAGTTGAAGGAGATGAAAAATATTAGTGGACAGCTAAAAAATTAGATCTCTTGAGAATGTTGAACATCAGCAAGAGGCAGCTAATGCCTGCCTAGATCGCAAAGAGCAAATCAAATATTTGGAACTTGAGTGGAGCATCCATGCAAGGGCTTTAACTTCTGATATTGACAATGATGTGCTCAGTGCCCTTCGACCTCACCGTGGTCTTGAACGGCTGAAGATCATTGGATATGGAGGAATGAGGTCACCCAGTTGGTTTGAGACAAATTGGCTGACTGCATTGAGTTCTTTAGCTCTTGAGGACTGCATGGGTTGGGTACAGTTGCCCCCTTTCGGTCAGCTTCCTCTGCTCAAGTATCTTGAGCTAAGAGGCATGCATGCTGTCAGAGAGATAGGTCAAGAATTCTATGGGAATGGTGACGTAAAGGGCTTTCCAATTTTGGAAGACATGATATTTGATGGCATGCTGAACTGGGATGGCTGGTCTGGAATCGAAGATGGTTCTTTGTTTCCATGCCTTGAAAGACTACTCGTATCACGGTGTCCAAAGATTCGAGAAATACCAACCTTTAGTGCAACACCAAGAGTTGAAGTCGAAATATCACCTGATTCCCCGCCAGCTTCTTGTTTAATCGAGTCACTAATTGCAACCGCATCAAGGTTGATCTTTCTAGTTAGCTCCTGCAGCTTCTTGAGTGACCTAACCACTGAGCAACTAAACCATGTTGCTGAGTTGAACCTGCAGAACTGTACAGATCCAATGCCAGCTGGTGGATTTCACAGACTTAGCTCCCTTCAGGTGTTCAGGATCAGCAACTGTTCAACGTTATTGTCATCAGTCAGTACAGAAGCAGTTGACACATATTTACTTTCTCCATCTCTTTGCCATATTGAAATAGCTCAAAGCAATGTTCATTGCAGCTTATTACCAAGGTATTTGCAAGGCCTAACTTGCCTCTCGACGTTGGTGCTCAATAGCTGCCATTTGATGACATCATTGTCATTTGCTTCTGAATCCCCCCACCTCGTTGCTCTGGAAAGTATAACCATTAAAGATTGCAATGAGCTAGCTTCATTGGATGGATTTAGAAATCTTAGTGCTCTCCGGAAGTTAGTCGTTGCAGATTGTTACAGTTTCTGCTCCTTGCCGGTTGATTTGAATATAGTGGGATCTCTTGAGAAATTAGTCATATGTGGGTGCCCAATGATGAGGTTTCTCCCCGAAGATGGCCTGCCAGCTTCTGTGCAGACTATTTTGTTATCAAAATGCCATCCAGAGCTTGATACCCAGCTTCAGAGGAAGGAAGGTGCTGAATGGAACAAGATTGTTCATATCCCTGAGAAGAAATTAGAGGTATATACTGTTCGCATTCACTTATATTCGATCTTCATCTTATTACAATTTCTGTGTCCTCTTTTATTTGCACACTTCTACTTGTACTTTGGTGGAGCGTGTACCAATAATTGACAAAGTCAAATCACTTTTCTCATTGCTAGTTTCCAACAAAGTTCAGTTAGTACAATGATATGTGCTTTTACTTATATTTTGCCATCTGCTCAGGTAGGGCTGATTGATTTGTTGACTATATTTCCGGCCAATTCTTCCTGAAGATGTTATTATACTCTCTGACTACAAGGTATGTTTTCCTAAACCAGCATGATGCATTTGGGTTTAGTCGAACCAGATATCACTTCTAGTGTTCTGGTACCTGTGTAAAGCTTTTGCTCTGTTCCAGGATTGCAAACTCTTGGATGGATATTGCCTTTGCAGTTTACCAGCCGCAACTCTACAAGGGGAAAGACAATCTTTCTGTATGTTGGATGTGTTCAGATTTTCATCAGCTGCTTTTTTTTCTGCGGAACAATTTTTAGGTCAGGTTTGTATATTTTTATTTTCCGTAAATGTAGACAGGGTGGACTGAAGTTTGGTCTTTGGTGGCTGAAAAACGAAAACCATGTTCTGAGAAGAATTCTAAAGTAGAACTGGCACTCACTTGCAAATAACTGCCTTCCTGTGCAGCGTGCACTGAACAGTGTTACAATCGAACAAGGCAGCAAAACTACCTTCCCGTGCAGCGTGCACAGTTTTTTTTTTTTTTTGCTAGGGAGCTGGATGACTTGTAACCAAAGGGCCTGGAATTGGTAGTTCATCTAGCGTATTTGAATATTTGATTCTAGCACTTGAACCAACCGGCATATGCTCATGTGTTAGAAACACAAAAAATAATGATTCAAGGCAATTCGGAAATGGTAGGAAGCTTGGTCCCACAAGGCTGATTGAGTGGAGGTGATAAATCCTGATATTTTGTTTCTAGTTCATTCTTTTCTGGGAGGTGGTAGAGCGTTTTCCAGGTTCTGAAATATGAATGCTTCAGTTCTGTCGAATAAATGGACAGAGTATCTGACCGACCTTTCGGAGGAGTTCGTTTTTCATCTTTTTAGGAATAAAAAGTTTGTGAGACGTCGTGCTCTTTTGCTTTCTGAAACATGGAATGCTAGAATTCGGAAGGGCTTATCCTGAGAAGAGGTACAGGATAAGGCCGTGGTGCATTTATATGGCTGGCTTGAATTTTGCCATCTGAATCCCATCATTTCACCTCCTTCTCTATGGCGCTATAAAATGGCATTGCCCTCAGATTGTTCTTCTTGCTTAAGAGTGTGATCTATGAGTCTGGGTTTACAGTGTGATCCCCTCTCCATTGTACCATATGCCGATAGCTTATTTGTTCCTAGTCTCATATTTATTTCGTAAACTTATTTTTGAAATATGCGCTAGTCTTCTCATATTTATTTTGTAACATTTTTTTTTGAAATATGTGACATTTTAGGGGACATGTGGTCAAACTTGTGCGCATCTGTTTTTTCAGGAAAGATCATTTGATGATGCAATAAATAAGTTTACAATGTTTTACTGTGCCCGAGCCGCATGTCGGGTCTGAATGCTTATCATGCAGTTGAGTTGCAGAAATTGAAGGCTGAACTACCTCTCCTTGCACTGAACAATGAGCAGCTTTTGGGTGACATGTAGTTAAATAACAAGCAAAGTAGATAACCACAGCAAAAGTCAATTGCATGTGCAAATACGCATCGTCCATCTTCATCTCTTCCATGTTGAGATGAGATAAACGGAAGAGGAAGAAAAGAATGGTTTTAACACCTGAGTGGGTCAGTACATACATACATACATACATATAGCATTTCAAGTGAAATTAACACACGTGGTGAAAAAAACTTTCACCAAGAACTATAATTCTTTTCCAGAACAAGACACAGATAAGAGTACTAGAAGCATTTTCCAGTACATTTTCCAGTTGGTATGTGGCCTTCAGAACTAGCTGGTATTTGGCCTTCAGAACCAACTGGTGTTTGGCCTTGAGGCACAGGGCGCCCTCGGCGTCATTCAGGCCAAGCACCCCCAAGCAATTCTTCCCAACCAGCTGGTGTTTGGCACTACCCTTACACCCCTGCCCCACGACCAGGAGTGATCATATCTCGTCGCAGCATCTCCAGCGGGCATTAGTGCATGCATCTCTCCATTGCTTTGCTTCCCCTGAAAAAAGAAGCAGATTCCGAAATCGGCCATGAAAATGATGCTCATGTAAAGATGTTAATGCAACAGTGGATGTCAGGATTATTAATGACTAATAGAACAAGCATCGGCATATCGTGTAAATCACACATAATACGGAGTCATGGCTAACCCAGACCAGGGATGTCTAGAAATCACAACTTCAAAGGACACTTTCAGGCTACTAGAAAAACAACAAATGCAGGTATGACACAATTAATGCACAGAAATATACGAGGACGAAAAGACTAGCGGGGAACTTGCACGTTGCTGTGATGCAGATCAATGCTGATGCTTACACCTGAATTTATAAATTATCCATTCCATGAAAGGGACAGTTTGTCCATACGTTGGATTCTTCAGATTCAGCATACAGGAAAATTTCTTACAGTGAAGAGACGAAAGCAAGACACGCACACAGACTACCATCGCTCTAGAAAATCCCATGCATGCAGCTACTGTCACTTGAGGTCTAAGGGATATGCGTACCATATATATGCCGAGTGAGCGTTACTTCCGTCTTGAAGCAATAAGCTTGGCAATGAACTCGTTCAGAACAGAGGGATACGTTGTGATTATATGCTCCCAGCCACTTGTTGCCATTACTCTCTTCAAACGTGAGGGAGACTGGACTTGGATAAACTCCAAGCACGCCTCCTTCAATCCGTGGCAGTGGTGCTTCTCAGCTAGAGCAAGGGTGGCTGCCACCGAGTTCACACCTATGCACTCAGATAACCGCTTTTCACATATGAACTTGAGCCGCTGGAGATCATATCGGTCTGCCGCTACCAACAAGTCTTGCAGCCAAATTTCATGCTCTTCTTGTCCTGGTTCCACAGCTTCTGACATTTCATCATCTACAGCTTCATCTGCTTGTTCTTGCTCCTCAAAATCTATCATGTGATTTTCCTCCATGATGTCCTTGTACATCTCAGGGAATGAGTCTGTGTAGACGAAGCTAAGCAAAGCCCTGAACACTTTTGCTTCCATGTCCTTGATCTGTATGATGCTGGACGTGGCAGTGCCCTCCTTCATGGGGCCAAAGAGTTGTGCCCTGAACACTGTGGATCGGGCTGCGAGCACGCAGCGGTGTGCGGCGAACGTCTCACCGCCGACCTCAAATGCCACATCAGCACCCAACTTATCATCAAGGAGATTGCTGAAATGCTGGTGAATGTCAGGCAGGGTGCCACCGGCATCATCCTTAGTTTTGGGGTCCTTGCAAACCATGATGTCGCACCGGATGGTAAAACAATCAGATATCAGATCCGGGGACTGCTCAAGGGCATCTCTTCTCACAAACTTGCTGATGCCCCACATTGGAACGCTGCTGGAGAAGCTGTAAGTTTTAGTTCCACGAATGTACATTGGCATCTGCTTCTCAACCTGGTTGATGAGACTGAAACTGAACTTGACCTCCACGTCCTCCTCATCGACATCGGAGTCATAGAGAAGGGTTAGATACACAGAAATGTAGTCGGCGCAGCTCGGGTCCAAGCCGTTGGGGTAGTACTCGAGTAACCAATCGTGGCCTCCTACTACAAAATGACCGGAGGTGATGTTCTCGCCGGTGGGGAAGAACTCTTTGGTACGCGAGTAGCCCTTGACAATGAGCAGGTGGTACCCGGCGTCCACACCGGCGCTGGCGTAGATGCCCGACATTTCGCAATGGCACTGGTTGTGTCCGTCGAGGACAGTTACGCCGGCGAACGACGACATGACGAACCTGCAACGAGGTCACCGAAAATCTATCTACTCAGTCAGCATTCACGCTCCTAAATTTCAGAGTTCGGAGTTGGGATCAATGGGCTGAGGGGCTAACCTGGGATTGCCGCCGCTCAACAGTTGCTGTGCCGCCGACGGCGACGCCGACGCCGCTTCTCCCCGGAATGAGAGTTTGCGGTAGCTGAGGGGCAAACCTGGTCAGGTCTGGCGGCCGCAAGCACCGAACGAAGTCGCCGCCGCAAGAAGATGACGCTCCACCCGCTGCGCCGCCGCTCCACTCCCCGGAGACAGAGTTTGCGCCGGCGGCGGCTCGTCTGCGTGCGACCTGGGCCTGCCTACAGCTAGGGTTAACAACAAACAATTCGCAAGTCATTGGGCTTGAAGGCCCTCAGTCCACGAAATGCAAAGGAGGCCCATCGCTCAGGGGATATTATTTTATTAAGTGTAAATCGAGCTGAATTTTCAAGAAAAAAGAGAGAATATAATCCAGTCAAAAAAATGTGCTATATCCCCCTAGAATTTTCATTTATGGAATGCCAAACAGCACTTGACTGATTTTCTTTTATCACCAAAAGAATGTTTTTCTTAATTGAGATTGGAACTTTCTGCATCTGTATTTACATAAACTCAGGGTTGTTCTTCGCGTTCCTTTTTTCGACACGTTAAGAGCCACTCGGGCGCGATGTGGTCTCTGTGCACCTGGTTAGCTGCAGATGCTAAGGGAGCGGCGTTTTGGCTCCGGGAACATTTACTCCTGGAAAAGTGGTCAAATATTTATTAAAAAAATAAAAAATTGTGGATGTTTGTGGTAGTGTAGCAAGAATGCTTGACAATTTTCACGTGAAACGGAGCAGTATTGTTTCGTCGGTGAAAAAAAAATTAGGGTAACATTGAGAGTTCAAATTTGCCTTTTTACAGATCAAAATGTTTAACATGTTTGCCCAAAACTTTGCAGTTAGCATTTGGATGTGACTATAAATACATAAAATATTTGTTGGGACATTTTTCTAATATTTCAAAATTTAATTTTTCACATGCAGGAGCACGTGCTCACCGGAGCTACTTACTACTACAACATTAACAACTCCAATATAGAGGATGGAGGTCAAGAAGACACTTGTCCCCAGATTCGAACAACATTTATTGCTTTCATCCCTTAGTTAAGGCATCTCCAAGACGGACATGTAAAGCTTTCGCAATTGTTCGGATCATACTGTCCGGACTACGGAATCCATCCAACACGGTCTGTATTGGTCCGTGGGGCAGTCCGGACGCCATTTCTCTCGCAAAATGAAGACAAAAGTGGGGGAGCTTTGTGGGAGTCCGCACACGCGAAACGTACGAATCCGACACCCCAGGCCGACCAAAAACCCTTCCAGGACCCTGCGACTCCATCCTCCCCATTCTCTCTCCTTCCTTCTTTCTCTCTTGTCGTCGTCGTCGCTCCACCACCCCGGCCACCACGCCACACCCCTGCCAAAAATATGTGTCACCATCACCTCCGGTGATCCAGCAGGGCTCCCCGTAGCTTCTCCTCCATCTTCGTTCAACCCCTTGTCCTCCGACCGCCCCGCCAGGTACCATCCTCTACCATGCCCGGCAACTGTTCGATGAATCGCCGGAGCTGAAAACAATTGCCCCTTCTTGTTTGTAGCAATGGATTCCTATTTGGAGTACATATACGGGCAGTATGTTGATTCCTCCCACGGCTCATCGGACGACATACTTCGATGAGACGACAATGATGCAGGCGGTCCTTGAAGACGCGAAGCGTCCGGAGGAGCATGTTCTCAATTTCAAGGGCTCGATCAAGGGTCACCGAGTGCTCAACTGCAACAGGGCACGCGAGCATTTGACATTGATGGCCGACTACTTTGCCCCTGATGCACTCTTCGCCGACCATTTTCGTCGACGTTTTTGGATGCGCAAGACCGTCTTCGATCGTTTGTACCATGGCGTCCGGCCCTAGATTACTACTTCATCCTGAAGGACACTGTGGGAATGATTGGCTTCTCTGGTTATCAGAAGTGCATGGCCGCACTAGGGATGCCTGCCTATGGCACAGTCATTGATTCGTGGGACGAGCACCTACGGATGTATGAGAGCACATGAGGAGATGCCATGGTTAGCTTTGCAACTACCATGGTCGAGGTCTTCGGACCTCAGTACTTAAGAGAACCAACTGCGGCAGACACCGAGAGGCTCCTGGCAATCTCAGAAGCAAGAGGGTGGCCAGGTTTGCTTGGGTCTCTTGACTGCATGCATTGGAAATGGAAGAACTGTCCGAAGGCTTTACATGGGCAATATTATGATCATGTTAAGAAGCCCACCATCATTCTTGAAGCACTTGCATCACATCATCTTTGGATTTGGCATGCTTTCTTTGGCATGTCTGAGTCTCACAATGACATCAATGTGCTGCAATGATCGTCGTTGTTTGCGAGGCTGGCTGAAGAAAAAGCTCCTCTTTGCCACTATACTATCCATGGACATGAGTACAACATGTGCTACTATCTGGTTGACGGTATTTATCCTCGATGGGCTACCTTTACCAGCACCATCTTAAACCCAGTTGGCTAGAAAAAGTCTCACTTTGCCTAAAGACAAGAAGCAGCTAGAAAGGATGTCGAGAGGGCATTTGGAGTTCTTCAGGCCCGTTTTGCAGTTGTCTGTGGACCTGCAAAACAATGAGATCCGGAGACCTTGTGGGAGGTGATGACATGTTGTGTGATCATACACAACATGATCATTGAGGATGAGGGTGACGATGCTGCCGCAACTCTGGAATTCAAGAACATGGGTGATCCTATCCAACTTCCGGACCAGAATCCGGCCACATTTGAGGAGTTTATTCAAATGCATCAACAAATTCGGCATCGACCAACTCACGAGCAGCTCAAGGAGGATCTAATTGAGCATCAATGGGCGATGAAGGGGACAACAATGTTGGGATTTAAAATATTTAAACTTTTTTACATTTTAACTAGTGATGCATGCGGCTATTTGAACTTCTGTGCCCTTTGCATGCGGCTACTTGATCGTGAGGACTGGGGAAAGGGGGGATACGAAAGGCCGGATATATGCGACTACGGCTGAATGTCGACCTCTCGCATCCGTGTCCATGAACTAGTCTTCGGGTCCACGGATGGATGCGGGGGATTTTTTGCATGTTGCCATTGGAGATGTCCTCAGTGCCCGTTCATGTGTTCGTCGTTCGTCTTCATTCGTGTGTCTTGAGGTTGGATTCTTTTGATCTACAATCTTCATCTGCGGCGGTTGTTGTTCTGGTGCGTTGGTTTCATGGGGCCTTAGCACGACGACTTCGCGACGGTCTACTACAACAACGTTTGCCCGGCTCCGGCGAGGGAGGGGCGATGACAGCGGCGCGCTTTCGGCTCGCTTCAGGTGCTTGTAGTCGTCGTTAGGTGGTCTACGGATCTGAACGTAATTGTTATTATTTCTAATGTTTGTTGTACTACCATGATTGAAGATGAATAGATTAAAATGTTTTTCCCGTAAAAAAACAAGAACAGAGGAGTACGCCAAGAGCATAAATGCCGCTGTTCATGAGATGAGCCGTTCCATGGTGAGTAGTACTCCGTAGTTGTCTTTGCTTTCTCTTTTGTGGAAAAAAAGACTCTGAAATGTCGTGTTCTTGTGCAGATTGAAGCTTGGAATTCAGGGATCTTTCAAAAAAAAAAGGAATTCTAGGATTTGCAAGGACTTATCCTGAGAGGAGCTAAGGATAAGCCCGCGGTGCATTTATACGGCTGGCTTGAGTTTCGCCATCTGAGTCCGTTATTCATCAAATTCACTGTATCCGAGCCTCGTATCAGATTGGGGATAGCAGGTTGAGTTTCTTTCTGGGTTTGGCTGTCCGGACGGTCAACACGGAAGAGGTGAAACTTATCTGAATTTGTGGGCGGAGCGGAGCGGTGTCACAACTGAACAAGGCAGCAACTGCCTCGATCTCTGTGCACTGAACAATGGGCAGGTTGTAGATTTGGATGGCCTGTAATAATAGTTGAATAACCGAAGTAGATAGCCACGGCAAAAGTCAATTGCCTGCGCAGCTACGCATCGTCCTCGCCCCCTGCCGTCTTCATCTCCCCGCGTTCAACTGAGAAGACAGAATAAAAGAGGAAGAGAAGGATGGTTTTAACACATGAGTTTGACTATTTTCCACTGGATCACTACAAACTTAAACATAGCATTTCATGTGGAATTAAGACAGGTGGTGAAAACACTTTCACGAGCGTCTATATATAATTCAATTCTGGGACAAGATAGGGGTAAAAGTACCAGAGGCAAAAAGTGAAGGGCAAGAGAGATAATGAACGAATCCACTGTCTTCTTTGGCGGTGAATTTGGTTATGTATACCTAGAGGAAGGTGCACAATCGCTTAAACAATGAGCCACACATTGCTTAATTAATAAGCAAGTACAGTAAATCCTAAGTAATTTAGTTAACAAGCAACTAATCATGCCCTTAACACACAGGTCGATTCGCCAGCGTCTTTATCAGCAGAAAGAAATGATTGGCCTTTGCCTTTTTAGTTTGGATGAGAGCTGGAACAAAGGATATCCAATCAACAGCAAAAGGGGGCGTTCAAGAGCGAATCTGTGCTCACCATCATGCTACTTGTCGCATCACATCCATGGTGCAGTGCAGGGATAGGTATGGATCACGTTGCAATCCACCGTGTCACGTCCCCAAGCCACAGGTTGTCGCAATTCGCGCACAGGAGCATATGCTGAAACTTAAACTAGAGGCGCAGATTTCATCCCTGTTCCTAGACACTAGAAAATGTTCTTCCTTCTATTTTTTTGTGGTGTAGGTGTGACAAGTGGGTCTATGTCAGTGTACCTGTCCGATCTCTTTAAAAAGTTGTGCTACAATCCCCGGTTTATACCCTTTTTTAAAGAGTGGTGCAAGCTTTGTTGTTTTTAATTTCTGATATACAAGAAACAGACATGCATAAATTTACATATATATGGTCTGGAAAGACGGTGCAAGTTGCGATGGCTGTTGGTCGTGAGTACAAACTATTCAGAAAACAATTTGGGAAAAATTCAGAAAAATATAATAGAGGTGTATTTGTAAAATTTAGACCAGCTCGGAATTGTCATATGGACATTTTTTGCGCCGTCTAGCTTGTTTTTGGAGAACCAGTCAGCCACTTAGCCAAGTTTAGGGTGCTAGTTCTTGTATTTAGAATCAGTGTTCTTTAATAAACAGTGAAGTTTTTCTTAAAAAAATACTCCCTCCATCTAAAATTTAAACTTTGTACTAAATCAGCGACACTTATTTTAGGAAAGATTGAGTATTAGACAATCAAGGTCAATGGAATGTTCGCAGCAGTGGGTGGCGAGAGAAGCCACACACGACTGTCAATTATATCATGAAGGGCATTTTGCTAGGCAGAACGATTTCTAGATAGTTTCTTCTCACATCATTCTCATAGTTCTCAACAAAGCAAGTAGTCTTATTTGTTGAGGTTTCTAATACTCTCTTAATCATATTGATGTACCGGCGGCCTGATCCTTCGATGAGAGTGGGGAGATAACTATCGATTTGGTGCATTTTGACCTTGACGGTCAAGTTATACCGTACCGGATGATATGCCTTAGAAATCGCCAAGCCAATCTCCAATTAATAATAATATTGCCATAGGCACGATCAATCTGAACAACGAGGTTCGAGTTTCTGGGGACAATCGAAGAACCGATAAGAACTATGATGAATTGCAATCTAAAATCGTGGATGATAAATTAAGCACACGAAAAAGATGAACGAGTTGAAATTCCATTGTGGGTCTAACAAGAAAGTAGGCGTACACATTTCACAGATCCAAATTGTAGCAATAGCTAAACAATAAAATGAAACACACATAAAACCTAAGCTAATGATGTATTATTAGAGGAGCGCGCCGACGTCTCGATGTCCCCTAGCTGATGGAAAACTTGATCAACATCTCATCATGCGGATACCCACTTCCTTGGTTCCCTTGTTGCTGTAGAAAATGTCCAGCTAGGGCAACTCTAACGGGGATCACCAATCGGACGACACCAAATGTCTGCTGATATGTCCGGACATGTTCTCGGACAGCAGGTTGGGCGTTGGCTGGCCATCCTATTGTAGTCATCAAATCTGACAATGGATTATAATTGAAAGTGGGCCAGGCGGACTGAGGACAAATCGAGGTGAATGAGACACATGGGCTGTGGAAAGATGTGGCCTGACTAACAGTGGGTCGGACATCTAGACATCATGACTGTCCCAAATCCCATAGTTTGGTGCCTATTTAGGGGTTTTGGACGCCCGGATCGGCCCGGATTAATCTGATGACTTCCGTTGAATGGCTTAAAATGTTCGGGCCGTTCAGTCTGAACATTTACGGGTGATTTGGTGATCCACATTGAAATTGCCCTAAGCATTCACCGTGTGGCTGCAACATACATAAGCCCACGGTCCACCTCTTTGCATTAATAATTGGCATGCATGTCTTCTAAATATTTCATCTATACATAATCCTTTCT